CATTTTCGTAAAATGGTCAGTATTCGAGAAATTTTGAGAAAAAGTGGAAAATTGGAATTGTTTTTGTTCTCCTCTATTACTTTTACCCCCTTATTTTATATCGGGCTAGTTATAGCTCATCTTCAAGTCATAGTTTCTGGTTGAAAGCTTTTAAGCTGCCGTATCTCAAAATATCTTGAAGGAGAATAAAAAAAAATATTTCAAGTGAGACACCTCAATTATAATATGGGAAAGTACCAGGTATAACACATTAACGAAGAGGTTATTTTGCGCTACTTTTAATTTTAGCTCCCAATAGCATGATACAAAATTTTTACGTCTTGTAATGTGTGACACTTCATTTGAAAGCTAATTTTTTTAGTATTAACAATGCACCACATAACATTAAACTAAATATCTTCATATAACACTTGCAACAAAATAAAGTTAGTAACAGTGCAATATTTTTTCTCTTTAAGTTCATCTTTGATTTAGTTAACATAATATAATGTAGTGCATTGAATTACTAATAAAATAATCTTTTAAATTAAATTTCACAATTTAAAATACGTAACTGGCGCTAAACTTAAAAGTAGTCCAATGCACAGTAATCAGTGGTGGCTTGTTACCAAAATTTTGGGGGTTCACAATGACAGAATATAGATATCAGTACAGATATATGAAAAAAACTTTCGGTGTTTTAAAAAGTTTACAATAACCTTTCTAAAATACTGACAGTTTTTTACCTACATCTGTACAGAGATCTATATTCTGCTACCGTGAACCCCCAAAATTTTGGTCACGAGCCGCCCCTGACAGTAATAGGTATTGCTGAATTCGCAATTCCTCTTTAAATGATCTTTTAGATAATGCATCATACTAGGTACTTTCCCTATCTAAATTATATTAGTTAGAGTGACGGAGGGGAGAAGAATATCATATGAAAATTAAGGATATGATGGAAAGGTGTCCCCCTTGCAATAAAAATCGCCCAGTTTTTTTTTATTATTTTTCAAGATATTCGGAGATACGGCCGCTAACAACTCTTAATCAGAGATACAAGAAAATAAAAGAAATACATAATAAGAAACTTTTTTGAGGTAGTTATAGCCCATCTTTCAGTGATTCACCATAGTAAAAATCTGATGTGTCCAACACATGACTTTCCTATCTAGTTATTACAGGCTTTTTCCGGTTATTTTGTACAACCTATTGCAGCATCTTTATAAATGTTTAGAGGATAAACTAAATATATACATTGTCCACATACATCTACCGCGAAACATTTTTCTATAGATATTCATTAAAAATGAAAATACTGAAAAATTTAAATTTAGCACTTTTCCTACAATTTTTTCATTACGGTCCATTTTAAAAAAATCATGTATGAACAAATATTATAGAGATCGATATCGCAAACAACTTTTATTTCAACAATTTTCATAAAAATCAGAATTTTGCACATTTTGTCAAATTTCTCGAATACGGACCATTTCAGGAAATTTTTACATAAGGCAACAATTATAGATAATATTAGAAGTAACTTATATTTGAACAATTTTTTTCTACAAACATAAATAACAGATATATTCCATAAAATATAAAAACGGCCTTTTATAAAGTACCCCCCCAGATGTTTCGACTTTGTCCAAAATCTAATCATTTCACGTCAGGCCGAAATAAAACTTAAATTTAAAATTTAATGTTTTTTTCTTTATCCGTTTTTGAGTTTTCTTCAAATTTCGAAATTTACACATTTTCTCAAATATTTCGAATACGGTCCATTTTAAAGAAATTATTTATAGGATAAAAATTATAGAGAATTATATTACAAACAACTTTTGTTTGAACAATTTTTATAAAAAAAAATATTTTTTTACATTTTGTCAAATTTCTCGAATACGGACCATTTTAGGAAAATTTTGTATATAACAAAAATTATAGATAATAAAATAAGAAGTAACTTTTATTTGAAGAATTTTTTCCCCAAACGTAAATAACAGATATATTTCATAAAATATAAAAATGACCACCTATAAAGTACCCACCCAGATGTTCCGACTCTGCCCAAAATCTAATCAGCTCATGGGCGCAAATGCCACAATTTTAGGTAGTGGCCGCAAGTACCACGGGCGCATCTACCATAGATCCGTTTCTTTCGGCGTACCACAAGGCGCAGTGTTTGGGCCACTTTTTTATCACATGTATACCTATGATCAATAAGAAAGTGAGGCGAATTATAAAGAGTTAAAGTTTCTTATTGCTACGTCCTCTTCCACATACTTATATTTGAAAAACGAAGATTTTAATTCAATTAGTTTTTTTTTTATTTTCTTACAATATCCACGGGGCTGACCCCATTTAAAGAACACTTTTATCAGCTTAGGCTTTGATAATATTCTGCAGTTTATAACTAATTTTCTAGTGATAGCACTTACTGATATTTAGACAATTTATTGGCAACACAATCATTTATGTTGCGTTGTATAGAGTGGCAGTCATTCAAATTCAGATATTAATTACGATATCGTTAACAAAAATGTTAGAGAAAAGAGGGCCCAAAGTGGAGCCCTGCAAAACTTCGGAAGTTTGAGAAAATAAATGTCATTTGAGATTCAAACATTGAACAAATTGAGTGTGACCAATTATATAGAATGGAAAGTCATGGAGTCAATGTATTGAAAAGAGGAAAATATTAAATACAAAAAAATAATTTGCAAAGGTCAAAAATAGAGTTAAACAAGTAGAATTTGATGTAACTCAAGACTTCTGGAATAAGAATATTAGTAAAAAGCTTTGATATGTCTCCCCTTTTTTAACATAAACAAATTTTCTAGTTTGTAGTTTATTCCCTCTAACGTTTTAATAATGAATTTCTTTAAATTCTTGAAGCCATCTATACTCACTTTCTGCAAACATAAATATATTCACTAGAATAATTACAGATACCTATTTTTTAGTTGTTATCTTATTTGATAGATAGACTGTCATGGATTTTACTATCTTATCTCTATAAAAACTTAAGCTATTTAATTTCTACTTCATTTTTAATTTGTCCAGTCTTGATTTTATAAAAATATGTATAAATATTTCCGTATATCACTTATATTATCCTGGCAAAGGACTTTTTTCAACTTATATATAGGACTATTAGCATTATTCTCGGTCGAGAGGATTGCAATTTGAAAATTAGTTCTAACCGCAAACGGGAAACTAAAGCTTAACATATACGATGGGTACTTTTTCGTAATTTATGTGTCACCGTATACCCGTGCATGCCGTGCACTCTGTGGATTTTGATTGCTTGCATGCGCAACGATAATTGCTTTTTTCCTTGATCCTTTAATCGTCCTTATGCTAGTATGCATTTCGATACTAATGGCCCGTCAGTCGGGCCGTTTAGAACATGATGATGGAGACTTAAGGAGCTTGAGGTTCAGCCAAATTTTATTCTAAATGCTGGAATGCTTAATTTCCATATCAGGAAGAACACAGTTATTGTTTTTATGAAAAAAAGAATAATATGAAGAGGAATTTGTTAGATGAGGCGGTAGCCGAGACTAAGTTTTGCCTAAAGGTAATTTATTTATTTATTTATAGTATCATTTGAGTTTATTTTTCTGTGGTTTTAATATTATATGTTAAAACACCGAATATACATTTTCATAAAGATATGTGAATCTGCCTAAGAGAAAGAGCAAAAAGTCACTTCTAAAATTTCTACTTCCTGTAATTTTTCTACTATCCATTTTTTATATATTTTCGACTTCAGAAACTGGTTAAATTTACTGTACACATTTTTGTTACACCATGTATAACCGTAATATTTGACATTTTAGTATTGTAGTATTTTTTTTTCTAATTACTTAAAAAACATTAAATTTATTCATAACTTCAAATGTAATAACCGATGTTAACCTGGGCGTTGATAAGCCATCGAATCCCCACGCGTCTCCCAACAATTAAAACAACTGAAAGCCGATTACTGGTGTAAAATTAACTTTTTGCGTGGCAAGGCCCTCTTTGTTGTTCGCTAATTCCTTAAGAACCGGCGAAGTGGGATCAAAACGCACGGTCCGCAGAGCACCTCGTCAAGAAGTCTGCGAAGACTCCAAGCCTTGTTTCGCTTTTGTTCTTTCCGCATCGTCAACTTTTGTTCCATTTCCGCGAATTATTATACCCCCTTCGTCTTTTGCTACCCTTTTACACGCCCGCGGCTTTGTCTATCAAGCGCAATGGCAAGAAATCACATAGCAATTACTCCAACATCATTAAAACATTTTTTATTAGTTAATTCTATATAATATACCAAGTCTGTAGAAAAACTAATAAGAACCTTCCATATTTCTACAGGCTACAGTTAAATTTGATAACTTTTCAATACCCAAATACTCTAGTAGATGAATAACTGTCACACACCTTGATACCAACGCTTATGGCCCTATTATTTTGATTTTAATTTAAACATGCTGTAAGGACATTTCAATAAAATTCTTAAAACAAACCTAGATAAAAACACAAACTCCCCAATATCCCAAGTCCAAAAGAAGATGGCACCAATCCGTGTGCCAATAATATCAACTTAAAACATCAGAGGGACATCAGAGGAACAAATGATAAATTACCTGATACAATCAAAGCATACTCAAAAGACTTGATTTGACCTCTATTATTTTTACCATGTTTATATATTACTGAGAATAAAATATTTCTAATTTTATTTCTACACTTCATACTATGTACTAGATTTGTTGATTTTATTAACGCTATATCCATATTTAATTTTTATATTTTGATTAAAGTCTGGGGTTACATATTTATACATTTGTTCCATTTATTTATTTGGCATTATACAACTCGATTATTTACTTTAAATAGTGTAAATTTGTTACTAAACGTAATATGCCTTCTCCAGTCCGAGCGAAACCGGTTGTTAAACGCTATTCATCAGCCGCGTTACATTTGAACAGTGTAAATTACCTTAAACAATTTAAGAAGTAGAAGGACTTAGACTTACCTGGATCTGACGCGTCCAAGCTTTGCTGCGATGCGGGGGGTTGTGATAAAGGTCCTGGCGTTCCTGGAGATCGTACGTCATCGTTGACAGGACCTCCGTACGACAAAGAGGAGGATGGCGGTCTCTGTAATCAGAAATAATACTGGGTATAAATGATGATGTCTTATCAATACGGTCGTAGAGTTAAAATGGTTGTTTCAACGATAAGGATCTTTTCAAGGATAATAGGAAAGGACGAAGGATAAATCCAGCGATCTATTATTTAATAATAATAAGTAATGGATCATCGTTATATATTTTTTTAGTTCTGGTTAAAAAATATTTTAAAACTAAATTATTAAATATGTAAAAAAGTGATTTTTATTTCATTTTTGAATTTCAGGTGATAAAATAAATATAATTCCAACTTTCTAGAAGGATTATTTTTAATATTTTTGATTCTTTTTTATTGTGATTGCTCTATGTTTTTAGGTTGTTGTACATTAAAGTCCGTTCTAAAATATTAGGACGACTACATATTCACGTTTAGTGGATATTAACTGGAGTGTTCCTCAAGGTTCAGTGCTTGGGCCGTTATTGTTTATAATTTATATAAATGATGTAGCATTTCTGATATTTAAACAAACTTGTTACTATTTGCTGAACATATAACGTTATTATAGCGTACTAAAAATTCAATTAAACTTCTTGGTATAGTATCTCTCTCTATTCCGCGATATTTTAACAGTGTCCATTAAATACATGTGATGAAAATATTGCGTGTGTTCAAATGAAACTTATTTGAATCTACATTTGGATTCACTTTCATTGTTTTTTTTTATATGTAGGGAAAGGAATACCTCCACACTCTATTAAATCAAATTTTTATAATGTAGGTTTCAAATATTTACCACTTGCACCCTAAACGGGTAAAAAAATCTGCACCGCCACTCCACCGTTTTCAAATATTCACTTTTCCCAGTCAGACTCTCGCGCGATCTGGGTTATTTTCACCCCGACCTCCATGAATATTTGCTATAATAAAGAGGGGTGATGTCTCAAAACGACTAGAGGTGTCACGTTTTTTGCATGGGGACCCGTCACTGTCTCGTGGAAGCGAAGTGTCATGTCCCCGACGACTCCTGGGACTTGACGTCTGTCCCCTTTCTCCCCTTTCTCTATTATTTATTTGTAACGGCCGCGCTTCACCGAGAGCCTGATCGAATTCCTGGCTAAAAGTGAGGTTATGGTTTACCGAGATGACGTCTCAAAGGAAATCCGTGAAAGTGGTTCGGATAGGTGAAAAAAAAATGTCACAAGTGGGAGATTTTATCCGAGGAAATATCGCTGTTGATATCCAGAAAGCTTCCAGGATCTTTAATATTTCATAAATGTATATTACAAAACCATGTTCCTATATGATCGATATACTTGCATTTCGAAAAATACTACTATTAAATAATAATAAAAAAAGGCGAGTCAGTAGTGGAACATATTGCATTTACTATATTAATCAGTTTTTCTAAAACTTTTCGAGATGACTCCCACAATAAAATTTAACGGTTTTAAATCAGGCAAACGCGCGGGCCTTTCTTTTATATTTCCCGTATACAAAAACGTCAATTATTGTGAATTACCCTCTATATTTTAAAACTTAAACAAATTCGTATATCCCAATCTATTTTTGACTTTATTGACGTATTCTTCTGTTCTTATAAGTCAAAAATTCTAAAGAGAAACCTCTTCGAGCTATTTCAAATAGTAAACACCCAAAAATAGCAAATCCTCGTTGTCGCGCTGTCATGAAGTGGCCGAGACATTTCGTTATTTCCATCCCATCTGGTCCCTATCCGTGACGCGACTTTATGTCGCCATATTTTTCATCCTCTCTACGAGATTGAAGATTACTTTTTTTGTTGTTTAAGATAGTGAGTTAGATCAGCAACCCCGTGAAAAAAAAAACTGCAGGTAATATGTCGTGAAAGAGGATATTGCTTTACGCTTCATATACTTGGATTATCGATGCGAAATTATAAACTATTATAGCATCTATAGAGCTAGAAATACTAGACGGTAATTCTGTAATATTGAAGTACAGTTTTTTTGTTATTTTTATTATATCAGAATGCACCTATAAACACCTATAATGAGGACACAAGTGTTTTATTCACTTCCAGAGTCTCTACCAACTTTATATATAGAGAATTTTATATGTACCTACTTATACATGTGGCGCTATATATTCTAAATAATCTTACAAAACTAATCAGCATTTTTATTATTATCTAGTTTACTACCAATTGTAAATATAGATATCACCTGCATTCAATACTAGTAATTTTCATTCTATTTAACTCATATAATTCCCACTGATAATTTAAACAATTATAATTTTGGGCTAACTAAATTGTAAGTAAAAGATAAATATATAAATGAAATAACAAATAAATACCTAAGTTAGGATGTTTCTGTGAGTACCTAACAATTATATTTGGATTTCTATATACCTTGTTAAAAAAAATTTCAATTTCAGTTCATAACCTTACGCAATAAAAGATTTAGTTTGAAATTTCTCCAAACTTTTTTTTCTTATTTTATGATTTTCAAGTTTCAAATATATTAATAAAAACATTATGATGTTTTCTAATTTTTTTTAAATGGTTAATATTTTTAAAATCGAGAAATTGAGCAAATATTGCAGTATTTATTATTCATAGGAGTGTTAATTTTAAATATGTCTTTACACATTAATGACTTTATGCCATTTTAGTACTTTCATGTATATTTGATAATAATTAATAAAAGACAGAACTCAGTAGAGTTATATATAAAGAAAGAAATTGAATTTTTAATTGATTAACTTCATACATGGAAATTTTTGAATTTTCTCCAAACTTTTTTCTTAAAACTTATTTTGTGATTTTCAAAATTCAAATATATTAACAAATATGATGTTTCTGTGAGTAACAATTCAAACTGGAATTATCCATATCTTCCTAATTTTTTTAATAACTGGTTAGTATTTATAAATTCGAGAAATTGTGCAAATATTGCAGTATTTTTTATTCGTAGGAGTGTTAATTTTAAATCTGTCTTTACACATTAATGACTTTATGCCATTTTAGTACTTTCATGTATGTTTGATGATGTTTAATAAAAGACAACTTAGTAAAGTTATATATAAAGAAAAAAATTGAATTTCTGATTGATTAACTTCATACATGGAAATTTTTGAATTTTCTCCAAACTTTTTTCTTAAAACTATTTTGTGATTTTCAAGTTTCAAATATATTAACAAATATGATGTTTCTGTGAGTAACAATTCAAACTGGAATTATCCATACCTTCCTATTTCTTTTAATAACTGGTTAGTATTTTTAAAATCGAGAAATTGAGTAAATATTGTATTTATTATTCATTGGACTGTTAATATTAAATCTGTCTCTACAAATTAATGACTTTATGCCATTTTAGTCCTTTCATGTATGTTTGATGATGTTTAATAAAAGACAGAACTCAGTAGAGTTATATATAAAAAAAGAAATTGAATTTTTGATTGATTAACTTCATACATGGAAATTTTTTAATTTTCTCCAAACTTTTTTTCTTAAAACTTATTTTGTGATTTTCAAAATTCAAATATAGTAACAAATATGATGTTTCTGTGAGTAACAATTCAAACTGGAATTATACATATCTTCCTATTTTTTTTAGTAACTGGTTAGTATTTATAAATTCGAGAAATTAAGCAAATATTGTAGTATTTATTATTCATAGGAGTGTTAATTTTAAATCTGTCTCTACACGTTAATGACTTTATGCCATTTTAATATTTTCATGTATATTTAATGATGTTAAATAAAATACATAAATCAGTAGTTATATAAAAAAAATTTTAATGACTAACTTCATATATGGAAATTTTTGAAATTTCTCCAAACTTTTTTTTATTAACTTATTTTATGATATTTAAATTTCAAATATATTATCAAATACGTTAGGATGTTTCTGTGAGTAACAATTCCAAACTATTATTATTTTCCATACTTTTCTAGGAATTTTTTTCAGTTTGATTGGAATTCTACAAACTTTCAAATTTATTAATTTTTGTTTCACTGGTTAATATTTTTAAAATCGAGAATTTGAGCAAATATTTTAGTATTTATTATCTATAGGAGTGTTAATTTTAAATATGGCTCTACACATTAATTATTTTGTGCCATTTCAGTATTTTCATATATATTTGATGTTTAATAAAAGATTAAACATACTAGAGTTAAAGAAAATATTTATTTTTTTTATTGATTAATTTCATTAACTATGTGTATTAATATCAAACAAATTTGTGTTTCATGTATTGCAATTTTTGAAATTTCTCCAAACTTTTTTCCTAAAACTTATTTTATTTTGTAATTTTCAGATTTTAAAATCTATTAACAAATACATTAGAGTGTTTTGGTGAGTAAAAATTCTAAACTACAATTCTCCACACCTTCCTAAGAATTTTTTTTCAGTTTGATTAGAATTCTACAAACTTTCGTATTTTTGTTTTTTAACAGGTAATCTTTAAAATATGTATTTTTGAAAGAAGTATCAATTTTAAGGTGATTCTACATTTTAATGATTTAATACCATTTTAATCAATGTCATCTTCCTGTATTTTTATTTTATTTGTATTAAATTTTGTTTTAAACTTTTTCCTTTTTCCTAACTAACTTTTTCATAACTTTTCCTAATTTTTCCTAACCTTACCTAACTTTCTCCTAACTTTATCCTAACTTTCTCCTAACTTTTACTGTTAACTCATTTTTTGATTTTAAAATTTTCCTAAAGTTTTTCTAACTTTTTCCTAACTCTTTCCCAACTTTTTCCTATTTTTCTAACTTTTATTCTTAACTCATTTTTTGATTTTAAAATTTCAAATAGATCAACGTATACATTATGATGTTAATACTACATCCCTTCCTAAAACCCACTTTGATTAGAATTCTACATACTTTCCTAATTTTTTTTTGTTCTGTTTTATAACTGGTTCATATCTTTGAAATCGATAAATTGAGCATACTGTGCAACAAAACGACAAGATCAACCATTTCACAAACTCCGTTGTTCGTTTCCAATTAGGAAGTTTCCCAGCATGCTGGA